TTTTAACATAAAACAAAATTAACAGTTTACTGCCATTTTTATATGATCAACTAAGAAAATTGATGAGATGGGAAAAATATCAATAAAGCAGTGTTAAATGTCCAATTTCTTCCATTCTGAGATTCTGAACATAGTGAATGATTGAATCTGACAAACTGCAATGATATGAGTTTATTTCCATTTTTGAAACTTTATTACACAATACACGATAACAAGTTTACCATCATTTTTACAAAATCAACTAACAATGTTGTAAAGATGCAGGAAATGTCAAACAAAAACTTTTACGTATCTTATTAGTTTAATAATGAGACTGTTAACATGCCTAAGAATTGAATCTGAGGAAATGTGAAAAATATGCTGAAAAGTGAAAAAACAGCATAACTTCTACATGCTGATTTTCGAACTTGACCTGCATTTTATGAATATTCACCAGCTCTGTAAATATAAAGCCAAAAAGTAAAACTGCCCTCCACTTATAGTGTTTACAAGGAAAGTGCACGGCATCGGCATCGCCATCGGCATCGGCGACGACAGACGCAGGTGATGGCAATACGTACAGACACATCTGTGTCTGTACATAAAAAGCAAGACATTCCAGACTAGTGAAAGAAAGGTATAATATAAATTCTTGGGGGGGGGAAAAGGAATGACTTTCTTTAAATTTTTATAATTTTTACAATAGTAGCATAGTAGCTACAATAGTAGCATAGTATACTCACCTTCCACCTGTGACCACATTCATTGCAGAATACAAAAGTTGTCATAGGTTCATCTGCACTCCTAGTTTGTACCTACAAAGACAACATAAAAGGGCCATGAACAAGTGTGTTCCCTGATATACATAAAATGTTTTCAAATATCAGGTTCAATTTCAATGACATTGGTCTTGCAAACAGATATTGCATGAAAAAAAGTAACATATGTTACAATAGGTACATTTTAAAACTACCAGCTAGGGCATAATCATATTAAAGTTTGCTATAATGCCAAGAATTTTTAGTTGCATTTATGCATGAAAAACATGCAAGCTACAAATATGTGCATACAGGAGTACTTTTTTTGGCATACAGTTAAAGAATTTATGTGACTGGTTACCTGTATACAACAAAATATGATATGTTGAAAACTTTGGACTTCACTGTTGGAAAGAAACACGAGATCAAACCAGGAAACTTAAAGAGATAATAACTCTTCATATGAGATCTATATTTCACCATAAAAACAAAGTACTCATAGAAAAATGATGTATTCTGTTTTACCACAAAAACAGCAGTTATAGCTATTATTCTGATATCTGAGCTTGTCATAGATGGCTATGCTCTGTAATAATCTCTTAACAGATTATTACCAAAAAAAAAAAAAAAAAAAAAAAAAAAAAAAAAAAAAAAAAAAAAAAAACAGGGACTAACTTTGAATGTAGAAATGGATTCATTAACCACTGGTAAGTATGGGAAAATTGTTATTTACTCCAGGAAAATTCATTTTTTGGCCAAAACGAACAGTTATTATCTCTTTAAAATGGTAAGAAATGATTTTTAAAAAATCATTTGGGACAATGGAAATTCTAGAATTGATCTGATATATATATCACTGACTATAACAAATTAAATAAATGAATAAGATGAAGTTGGCAATCAGCAAAATGGGACAACAACCGCAAAATTCTAATACCTATTTCATGCAGCATTTCACCAATAATGTTTCATCCTCTGGCTTAATAAATACCTGGTTATAAGTGCAGTTCCTTTTTAGACACCGGCCACATTTTAGCAAATCTGTTTTTGTCCCACTTGTGGTTGCCATCTGATGGTCATTGATGGCTTCTTTAGTAAGCTTGGCTCTAAGTTTTTTCATGTCTTCACTGGCCATTTCCTAAATTAAAAAAAAAAAAGTCTTCACTGGCCATTTCCTAAATTAAAAAAAAAAATAATCTCCTCCAATCTTCAAATTGCATACTTTTACTTCACTTACTATTGAAAAATAATTCAATTTTAATCTGTCTGATGTTAAAAGATCTATAACAAACATTCTTGTATGGAAAATGGTATTTTCACTGGATTTTAAAAACATTCACACGTATTTTGATTACATGACCTACACAAATTAACAAATGTAAAGATATTGAATTCATCTCAGCTGTAAAAAGTGTGTAATATAATAAGCAAACAATATCCTTTCATATCTAAAACAAGGCAACAAAATACAAAGCCCAATGTACTGGCCGTGATGACATCATCTCCATGAATGTATCCAGTCATCAGATATCAATTTTCAACAAGCTTGTTTCTCCAGTTAGATGCTCTTGAAAAATGATTTACATTTAAAAACATTCTACAGCCAAAAGCCTGGCTGTATCAGAATTACCTCTGCAGTCATTTTTGCCATTTTTTCTGGCAGTATGTATCCACATAAAACATTTTCCCTTAACTGTGGATTCTTTTTGTCCTTGAGATTAGCAATCCTACTTCGCACTCTTGATTTGTATTTCATTTCTGTGTTACCAAACTCGGCAAATATACCTGGATCCTCAGTTAAGGAACACAATGCAATAAGTTTATATAAAAATTACTAGTCTAATACAAACTTAAAGACATTTATATATTATTCAAATGAAGCACATTATAAAAAATATTGATACTGTGAAGGTTGAAAATAGAAATGTAAAAAATCAGCGGCAGTGAAATGAATCCCACACGGGACGAAGAGCATTGATTGATTTGATTGATATTATATCCCATTCAAGTAATCTTTCCAAAAGATACAATCCTCAATTGCCACTGCAATTTCATCTGGATCACCAGCACCTTCTGGAGGATCTGAAATAGAAAAAAATTCAATCGCATAACTTAAGTGCTCAATACATAAAATACAAAGCATCATTTCTTAATATATGTAAAACTGTATATATTCAAAGAGGCTCACATTTAATACTGAATTCAAGTGATTTTTGTCACTGATGAATTGGTGTTGTTTGAGGAACAGCTTGAAATACATTAAAAGGGATAATTCAACCTAAACAGAAGAAGAAATAACATATGTGCAAATCCAGTAAACACACCTTCCACTTTTAGAGCATTCAGGAGAAGTTCTCTGCATTTCAATCTAACAGAATCAGTGGTGTCTGCAGCTTTCAACGGAAAAGAAGTTTGTTTAGGGGCAGCAGTAGGTGTGGAAGGTTCACTTGTGCTACTTTTCTCAGAGTTGGCTTTTTCTGCATGATCACCAGATCCATCTGTTGAAGGTTTGGAGCTGCTATTTTTGGCAGTGGACTGGTCAGCTAAAAAAAAAGTTTTGGATAAAATAAACATGACATCATATTCCATATAAAGTAGGTCATCAAATACTTAATAACTTTTGGAAAAAGTTAATTGTTTCATTCTATCAACAGAAGGCATACTTTCTTCTTACAGGAAGATCTAATGATTTAACTATCCTGTGTAGAAATTCATTTGAATTGTGTGGCAATTTTACTTTTTCATTAAATAAAAAAAAAAGTCACACATATCATTTACGTGAATTTTACCTGGCAGCAACTTTTTCCAACTCTTGATCAAACTTTTTGATAAGGTTATAACTTCATCATTGGTACTAGCTTTTCGAAAATTGTTTACTATCATTCCTATTCTGGTTTTCTGGAAGTAAAAAATATTAAAAAAAAGAGAACTAAAATAAAAAAGATTAAAAAACAAAACAAAACAAACATTTGATACCTTCAAACATGAATGTGGTATGTTACCAATTAAAGAACTTTGCACATAAAATACAAAAGCTGGTATTTTGGAGACACAGATAAATTAAAATCTAAAAAACCACCATAGCTGAAAACGGTAAGATGTAATTCATACCTGTAATACTTCTAGTCTCATTCGTTGTTCTTTTAATACTTTGAGGATATCAACAGCTGATGCATGATCCTATAAAATATATGTATGAGAAACTTATCAAGTCCCTAAAACATAACTGTAACCAGTTGCCAGTAAATACTTTTAAAAAATGGAATCGATAGTGTGTGCTTTATTCACTTCCAACTTTACTGAAAAGTGGTGGCTTTAATAAATGCACTCAATAAATGAGCAGTGTAAATATTTATGAAAATTTCAGAACATTACAGATGTTTCCTTTCTAAACTTATAGTCTAGAGTGCACATGAAAACGCATTGGTACCTTAGCTGGTCCAAGGGAGGTAAACATAAAAAAACAAATATGTTGAATAGACATGTGCCTTGACATTTTAACTTTTTCATATCAAAATTACACTCAAAATAATATGTGCACTTAGTAATCACATGTACATATCCTGGCTTTCTTTGTTCAAAATGTTTCCATACAATATGGTACAGTTGTTGAGCTACTGATTGCCCTGATTTTAGTGTATCAGAAGGGTCATCAAATTCATGGTAAAAGCAGGGCATTCAATAACTTAGATCAGCATCTAGGTCATATTGTAAAGCACATTATGATTTAGGATGCAAAAAGGTATAATATACTTTGGAATTTACTATGTAAATATTATTTTAGCGTCTTGTGTATTAAAGAGGCAAAATGTAAGGACTCACAACTTCAATGTACTGTTGGCCTGGGAGTTTATCCAGCACTGTAATCTACAAGTGCAGCATGTACTTATTTTATCAAAACAGAAAAGAACCTGGCTATGGCTATGTCAGTGACAGAATCGTACCGACTACCGACCACGAATCTCACGTCTAGCTGTTAATACTCACACATTCTTTTTTGTCAATCATCTTTTCTAATTTCTTTCCAATCCGCGTTACTTCTTCTTCGGCACTCATGTTTGCACCTTTGCAAAGGGCAACAAAGAAAGAAGGAAACAACCGCCAAATGAAATCAACAAAAGTCTACTCAGAACTTAGATCTCTTCCAACATGGCGGTCTATGGGAATGATGGGAAAAATACTTAGTTCAAAATGATTTTTACAACGAGTAAAATAAGGTAATTAAACACATTCTACGATAATTATAGGATAATATGACGCGCCATGACTAAATATGAAACTATTTTTCAAACTGAATTGACATTTTTACTATATTTTAGTCATGTGACCGAAGGGTTTGCATCAAAATGGAGGGGGTCTCGAAGGGGAAATGAGCTGCCGATGACTTGTGGCAGGTCAACAAAATGTAGTGCCAGGATATGTTTAGAAAAACCAAGTCTAAAACAAATGTCAATTTTGGAAGCAAGGAATCTCTTAATAGCAAAGAAGGTTCACAGGTAAGTGTTTTAATGTTTCTCAGCCGTGACACTGACATTGACACATTTCTGCTGTTAATTAAATTGTAGTGCTTGTAGTGAATAGTATGGCACATGTATAGTACTAGCAACACTGGCAGTAACAGTGAAGTAAGTTGCATCTATCGCTCTGAATTCGCACTGCCACTGTGCTTCCTCTTTGGCACTACTCTCTGTTCCAAGCTAGCTGCCTTGTCAGTATTTATAATTTTCCTGGACTTACTGGTATGCTTATTTCTACCCCCCCCCCCCTCCCTCCACACACACACATACATACAGAGAGAGAGAGAGAGAGAGTGTGTGTGAATGGCATATATATAGATGATTTAACCATCAAATTAGACCGAAAGTCCATAATATTTGGTTTCTATACCCAATCAATGCTAAATGTATATTTGATAAATGGTTTTATGCACAATTTAATTTTGTAAGATATACAGTAATGACTGTTTTTTATTGAGGAAAGTTATCAATCTTGCAGATATATAAATTTGGAATCATTCAAAGTTATATCTCTATTTTGCATTTGCGTTGTATAGAATAGAACAATAGGATAGTCTGCTTGTAATTTTGTTGCTACCACTTGATGGGAATATGTTCTAATTTAGAGAATTTAGGACTTAAAAAATTTCCAATTTGTAAAATTCACAATTTTTCCCATTGAAAAGATCGAGTCATCACCATAAAAATAATTTTATGAAAGCACTTATGGCCTGATAAAGCCCAATCGGCAATCCTCGGTTCATTCCGCAAGCTCCATACTAACCTCGGATGTGATAGGCGGAGAAATATGCACCAAATCCATGCATTTTGTCCGCCGGAAATTCCTTCTCACTCCATCGATCACTCCGCTCATAAAGAGGGCTGTCAATACCCCTGATTTTTATGATAATTTACAGCAGGCCCGTAGCCAGCAATTTCAAAGGGGGGTTCTTTTTCTGAAAAGGTGGACCTTTTACCATATAATCCCCATGTACCTAGGTCAAATTTTACCCAGAGTGGACCTTTTTCCAGCAAAAAGGGCGGTTCTTTCGAACCCCCCGAACTCCCCCTGGCTACGGGCCTGTACAGTTTGCCAAACAATGCACTAGGATTGAGTTTGATTTAAGGGATAAACAGATACAGACGTTGAAATATTTGTACAACAGACATGATACTTTGGCTGTTTTACCGACGGGCTATATGGTAAAAGTTTGAAAGTAGTTCCTTCCCAACAATCAACAATCAAATATGGCTGCCTCCGTATTACGTCCGAGGTCACTGTCGAGTGTGGAGACATCCAAGTAGTTCCGAGTGGATAAAGCCTGTATTTCAAAGGAAATAAGTTTGTGGATAAAGTTCGAAGAATTGTTAATAGAGTTTGTTTCTCTCAATTTTATATGTCATTTGTTCTGAAAATGACAATTTTATCAAGTTCATTTTGAACATTTTTGATTGTGTAAACTTTAAATATTTTGTTTATTTAGTCTGAGTTTTTTATATTAGCATCCAGAGACTTTGCTTAAGCAAAGTTGTTGCCTTGAAAATTCTTACACGAATTGGACAAAGTGTAACGTTGCAAATATCACATAGGTTCCTCCACAGCATATGTTTTTCTCTGTTACATCATTTCCATACATCTATCAGTATTTTTTCTTCTCTGCATGTCTCACAATAAAGAAAAACATTTTAAGAAGGACAGATCTTGTCTTAGATTCTTTGAACAATATTGCTGGGCATGCATAAATTGACTCAAGGTTTTACAGAAGTTGAAATATGTTACAAATTAGAAAGTACTGTGTATTGATACATACTGTAACATCTTAAGGCATACAGGCTCATTTTAGCAGATGACCACATGCTACATATCTGTGAAATTATCTTTCAGTCTCTAGGATCAAGTGAAAATCTATCTGGCAGCCGCGAGATGTTACTGGAGGCTGGGCCTAATATATTGAACAAAGCTGCACAGTACCATGTTCACTACCTGGGAAGTTTGCAAAGCTTTAGCAGTGTCACAGGGAGCAAAAAGATTGCATCTACCCAGTTAGTTGACAAAATAGAAGAAGCACAGGTGGGATTATAAGGTTGTAGATTCTGTTTGAAATAATAAATGCCACTGACCTGCTGGCAGAGTGAAAAACAACAGCAACAACATCAACACTTTTTCAACAAAAAAAAAGGGAAATTATGTTCCCTTGTTCCTAGTTAATGCTGAGAATATATTTTTAGTTAGATTGGTGAAAAATTATCCTCAAATTTCCATAAGAAATCTATTACTATATTTGGCAATTAGGCAATTTTAATGTGGTAAGTTGAATGGATTATTTCTTTTGCACTGTTCATTGCTCCACACCACCTTATAATTTTTTTAGGGAAACTATATCATGGCGCAGTGAAATCCTGTGTAGTGGCTCTCTACTGCTAATTTTAAGGACCACTACACAGGATTTCACTGCACCATGATAAATTTCTCCTCCATTGAGCATTTTCATACCCTTGTGTGAAAGAAGCACTTACTAGTAAAAGAGAAATGAAATGAGCAGTTTTTCTCATCTTAACTTGCTTAAAGTAAACAGGAAGAAATTGAATGGACAAAAGAGTTCTGTGGATGAATAAGTTTGAAAAGGATGGGGGGGGGGGGATTTAGCATGCAAAATAAAAACATTTGCAACTTATGACTGTATTTACCGTAAGTGTAATTAAAAAAAAAACTTTAAGCGCAGTACACTGTAATGATATTAAATGTTTTGCAAGGTTTTTGTTATGATTTTTTCTTGCTCCAGTCCAACAAGAATTTTAACTAACTCATGTCTGTAGCACTTTAAAAGTTTGTAAAATTATTGAATGCTGTATTATAGTTTGCTTATTCAGCTGTGAGTGGTTTATTTGAGATCTGAAATAATTTGAAATCACAGTAGTAGAATATAAATAGGGTTAACCACAAAGTTGATAAAGCAACTGTCATTTTTGATTTAATGGATATCATGCTTTCATGTACCGGTATATGTTGTGTTTTAAAGAAGTGTGCACTTTTATTGTTGCTTAGTTTTTGAAAATATTTTTGGTGGACAGTAAAAATAATGTGCATTTTATTAATAAATCTTATGTTAAATCTTACATTTGAGTGTAATTAAATATATTTCTTCATTTTTAAAACTTTGATCAAAGATTTTTAAGTATGCCCAACACAAAATTCAAGTATGAAAAAAATGAATCTGTTGTACATTTTTGCAAAACTTATCTCAAACTTAAGTATCAAAATCTGATTTCAGATTCAGGGAAAGTTACCTTTTTTACCTAAGGAGGATGACATAGTTACCATTTTGATATCAAAACATGGCATACGGCTGTCAAGGAGAGAGGTAAGTTTTTTTTTTTTTTTTTTTGTGCAGTTTATGTGAAAAAATGTTTTGTTATAATTCCATGCATGGGTGTTTCACGAAGGATGTTTATCAAAGTCAAAGTCTGTACAGTTCAAGTGATGTATGGAGTGTTATGGACAGCAGTAAAACAGCATGGTGTGATGTAAAATTTGAAGAGTTTTGATAGGGCACAGATGTCTGGGTTAATGTTGGTTAAAAATACTAAACGTGGGATGCCCCTCCTAGAATGTCCTCAGAACACAGTATTATAGAAAGAATGAAAAGTATAGTAAATAAATGAAAAAAATGCATAGGTAGCTTGCTAGTTAGGTAGTACATAAGTAAGAAAATTAGTAGACACAAATGTTTAACTGTTGAAGTACCTGCCCTGGATTAAAGGTAATTTATAAATTTGCATTTGATGTGAGGGGTATGTTTCAATATTTCATAACCTTTACTTTAGATAACAGTTGTCACTTCTACTTCCTCATTGTAGCTGATAAAGTGCCTGCTGTATTTAGCGGTGTCAATTTATACTGTTGTTACTGACTTTGTAATCAGTCTGAAAGTTAATCATTCAAAACATTTCTGTAGGTGTAACCCAGATTTGATTGGCTGAGCTCTGAAACTAATATATACCAGGACTTCCAATGGCAGAGTATTAAGTGTGGGGCTTTACTCTACAGAGAGAGCTAAAAGCAATCACCAATTTAGATTTTATTAACCTTTGCAATAACAGTTATGATCATTGTACTACACGTACAAAATTTTATTATTAGTGTATTTGATATTGATATTCAGTTTATTTCTGTGACAACTTCTGAAAGATATTTTGAATTAAACAAATATTCAGAGTTTGTTTGAGGATTTTTTCCAATTTGCAATCCAAAATCAGGAAATGAAATCTAAAAGTTAATGAATAAATAATGATAAAGGTGAGACAAATTATATATATTGGACATTTTACATGCTGATTGCAGTGAAAGTTTGTGTAAAGTTTACGAAATTTTGGTTTCACCTGTATCTCCCCTATTGCAGTTGGAGCAGGGTTTTTTTGTCAGACATTGGTGATTATAGTTAGTGTCAGGGTCTATGTAGATTTTGCAGCTCCACCTAAAATTTGACCTCAAAATTGTTGACAAACCATGTGAAATGTTCTGGACTTTTGGAGCAGTGCAATTTTCTCAAGCATGCACTTCACTTGGCTAGAAACTGAAATTGCAAAGGGCAATAAATTGGATTTGTGGTGATTCATCTTTTTGAAATAAAAATCTGCTATATGACTCCAAGTCTTTATTCTCATATTGATTTAAGTAAAAAGAAATCTTAGAAAAATGTCATGGAGATGAATGATGATGTTAAGGAACAAACATGACACCTCTGGACCAGGACTAGTAAAAGTAGAAGCCAAGATGAATTCTTCACAATGTACATTGTGGGAATTTATTAAAAAGAAATTATTGATCAATATGGTTAAAAAAATCAAATGGGTCTTATAAAGTAGAAAAATGATTTACTCTGCCTGGGAAATTAATTTGTATTGAAAATTATTTCATAAAAATATTTCATTGGTAAAAGTAAGCATTTAAATGAAATTCTGGTAAAATAGGTCTGATTTTTTTTGTATTTTAGGGAAAGTAAAAGAAATCATAATTTGAATGTCTCTGTAGTTATTTCTATAGAAAACTATAAATGTCAGGTGTCATTCCCATGCTCTTTGAGAAAGCTTTATTGTCCTCTGACTATGAATAGGTGCAAGGCTTTTCTTTGTAAGATTTAATGAAACTGAAATTTATATTTCTGTCCAAAGAAATGGGTGATACATTAAATGCTGATACAGATATGGTAGGATGATTTAGAAACTAAGCTAAATCGCTTTGGATTTAGCAGTTTCTTTTTGTGTCTAGTCAAAATATTTTTCTTTTACATTAGTCAAATAAAATAATCTTAAGGATTAGTTTTTTCTTGGCCTACAATGATACAGTAGATGGGTACAAGCACTAGACTTTTTATTATGCATTGTATTATTTCAGGAAATAATTGAACGTCACCCCCTCCACACAGTGGCACAAATGATGGCCTTTAGCGATGGGGCAGGGAAACACAACATTGCAGTGAAGACGGGACAAGTTGGCAAGACCACGTACAGCTGCCACGTGTTCCAGTGTCAGAATGAAGTATGTGCACATGAGCAAGGAAAATTATTAAAATTACAGGCGAAACCTCTGTTTTCAACAAAATTCATATTTGCTACACATTTATGACATTTTTTGCAAAATGTTATCCAATATATATCTTTCATGAATTGAATTGAGAATTTTATGAAATATTTGCTAGAGCCTTAACACTATGACCCCATTCCCACAGACACCATCTGTTTACATAGATCATTCCAACTCTGTGGGGACTCTGGCTGAGTGTGATCAGCTTAACTGAACGATACACTTCATCTTGAGTAGAATACAGAAAAGCTGGTGATTATATGATTATTTTGAAAACAAGAAGAGGGGTGTCCTTCAATTAAGCTGATTGCACTTAGCAAGAATTCCCACAGAGTTGGATCAATCTACATAGGCCAATGATGTCTATACAAATGGGGCCTATGTCTCTAGCAACTTGATTATCATCTTATACATTGACAATTTAAAACTGTTTGTCTTTCCAAAACGGTGTCTTAGTAAATTGATGGCTTGTTTCCTTAATTGTTTAATGTTGAAGTAGGCTTATATGCACCTCAGATATTGCACTATTTGGCATTAGTCTGAATGCTAGTCACCACCCAGAAATAATGTTCACTGCTTGGTGATTTGACATCTCTGACTGTGTGTGGCATTTTGGCATTTAGAACACTGTTGAAAGATGACCTGAAATGTTGAATGCGATTACTACATGGCTGGTATTATGCAGCGATATCCTCATCATCTAAATAAAGAACTAGTGCTGTAATGCATGCAGTTACTATTAGGTCTGAAAATTAATGAATGCATGAATGAATTACCAAATGATTTTTCCTTGGCAAAAAGAAGGAAATGTTAAAGATGCATTTTCCGATTTAGAGAAAACATTGAATGACTTTCCCTTTGTTATTTACCGATGAGTCAAATCCTGAATGATAAAACAAGTGGATCTTTTATTTCCTTACAGTATCAAGATAAAGTGAAATGAACACATTTATATCATTTTTTCCATAGGAACAGTCCCAGAAGATCTGTCTGAGTTTGAGTAATATGTTCCAAGCATTAATGCAGAGATCATGAGGAAAAGATGCAAGGACAACTTACATGTACTAGAACATGGGAGGAATCCTAGGTGTGCCTGCAGACCTCTTGTATGGTTTGCCAAGTAACCTCAGGCACTATTCATTCCAGAAAACAATTTTTCTGTGTAAACTTACTGTAGAAGCTTTTTGCTGTGAGGTAATGTTTAGAAGTGGTACTTGAAGAGAGTTGTTTAGTGTTCACCCAGTGTTTGTGGTGATTTAGCCGACATGTCAGAAAGCATGTATTTGCAAATCAAAATTGAAAGGAAAGGGGAACTGAGCTTTATAACAGTGTGACAAATTATGCACACCTGTAAGATGGGACATATACTGTTTGAATGGTCAGTTAATATATTTATGTACAGGTGTATCTGCTTCCTATGCATCTGTGTATTTTTTCATCCACATCATGTCTGTGTATAATTTCTAAACCCATGCTCCACTTGTTAATGTAGATCATGAATTTATGCGTTTTTAATTGTCAGCCCTGGGTGTGTCGAAGGTATCATTATGGGGTCAACAGGTACACTCTTTCTGGAAGATGCCTAGAACATAACTGCAGCAGTTAATGTACTTTACAGTGTGAGGTGGTAGGGGTGGACCGTTTCAAAGTTGAAATGTGTGTATGACATTGAGGGTAAATTATTCAGAATGGGCATAAGGTGCGCTTCTTACTTTCATGGTCTTGTGGACATTTAGCTTTAGCTAATTGGGAGTATACAGTATTCAAAACAAAATGAAACTGAAACACAGTTATATCTGAAAGTCCCAAATGCTCCATAACATTTTGCCTTTGTATTGCGATTATCTTATATTCTTCATAGCAATTTAAATTGAAGACACATTTTAATAATATAATGTGTGGTTTTGGTAGATGAAACAGTTTATATTGAACCAAACAGAAATGTAGAAATGGTTCTCTGGAGGTGCTCTTGCAAATAAATCAAAGCATTTCATCTGGTATTTTATCGTTAGTATTTTTCAATATGAGACTTTATCACAAATCCCAAATTTTAACTTTCAGGATTACATTTAAACATTTGCACTGCAAATCACACAATCTGAATCTGATGGTGATTGAAAGTCCTTTCCGTAAAGAATTTTGGGTACAATTTTATTTTTCATCTTCAGACAATTATGCCAGTAAACAATTTCTTGACTGAACTAATTTTGAAATAAAAACTGAATGCCAACAAATTGAAAAAAAAATCAAGCAATTTTATTCCATTCACAGGATGCTCAGTTGAATATTCTACAACATAATTCAATATTCTAAAAATGAAGGTGACATGAGCATTACCTAAAATAACACGATAAGCAATGATGTCAGTCAACTTGAATGCACACACTTTCACTTCAGACTGGAAGTGTTTGCTATTATATTTGCACAAAGTCAGGATTGTTTTACCCATTATTACATAGTAATACTGAGAAAGTGATGATCCCTCACAAATGAACACATCTTGATTAATTATTCAACCTTTTTACGTCACACCTCCCATATAAAACAAACCTATAATACAATTTTCCAACATATTGCAATAAACCTATGTACAATTTATTTACTAAAAATGTACAACAATAAATTACTTGAGTGAAACATCAGCAAATATCTTTATGCTGAAATTATCATATAATTCAAGAAAATAAATAAAAAAACACAACGGATACATTGAAACTGATGTGACTACGATATTTAAAAAAATCAGATCTCCTCCAGCAGTCCTTTTAAATAATAGTAGTTAAAATCCGTGCAATGACAAACATCCCCTAAAGCAGATATTATTCTTATTATGACAGATGTATTGAAAATGAGACAATGCTGCAGTGACTTGGGACTAGAATACGCCCATTATATGCCTGATGGTAGGAAATGACAGTGCATGTGTTACCCTAGAGGATCCTATCCTGACCCTGGTAAATTATTCCCCAATAGCGTAAATTAATTCATTTTGACGAAAAACCTTTTTGNTTAAGAGAAAACATTGAATGACTTTCCCTTTGTTATTTACCGATGAGTCAAATCCTGAATGGTAAAACAAGTGGATCTTTTATTTCCTTTTAGTATCAAGATAAAGTGAAATGAATACATTTATATCATTTTTTCCATAGGAACAGTCCCAGAAGATCTGTCTGAGTTTGAGTAACATGTTCCAAGCATTAATGCAGAGATCATGAGGAAAAGATGCAAGGACAACTTACATGTACTAGAACATGGGAGGAATCCTAGGTGTGCCTGCAGACCTCTTGTATGGTTTGCCAAGTAACCTCAGGCACTATTCATTCCAGAAAACAATTTTTCTGTGTAAACTTACTGTAGAAGCTTTTTGCTGTGAGGTAATGTTTAGAAGTGGTACTTGAAGAGAGTTGTTTAGTGTTCACCCAGTGTTTGCGGTGATTTAGCCGACATGTCAAAAAGTATGTATTTGCAAATCAAAATTGAAAGGAAAGGGGAACTGAGCTTTATAACAGTGTGACAAATTATGCACACCTGTAAGATGGGACATATACTGTTTGAATGGTCAGTTAATATATTTATGTACAGGTGTATCTGCTTCCTATGCACCTCTGTGTATTTTTTCATACACATCATGTCTGTGTATAATTTCTAAACCCATGCTCCACTTGTTAATGTAAATCATGAATTTATGCGTTTTTAATTGTCAGCCCTGGGTGTGTCGAAGGTATCATTATGGGGTCAACAGGTGCACCCTTGCTGGAAGATGCCTAGAACTTAACTGCAGCAGTTAATGTACTTTACAGTGTGAGGTGGTAGAGGTGGACCGTTTCAAAGTTAAAATGTGTATATGACATTGAGGGTAAAATATTCAGAATAGGCATAAGGTGCGCTTCTTACTTTCATGGTCTTGTGGACATTCAGCTTTAGCTAATTGGGAGTATACAGTATTCAAAACAAAATGAGACTGAAACACAGTTATATCTGAAAGTCCCAAATGCTCCATAACATTTTGCCTTTGTATTGTGATTATCTTATACTCTTCAAAGCAATTTAAATTGGAGATACATTTAATGGTTTTGGTAGACGTAACAGTTTATATTGAACCAAACAGAAATGTAGAAATGGTTCTCTGGGTGCTCTTGCAAATAAATCAAAGCATTTCATCTGATATTTAATCGTTAGTATTTTTCAATATGAGACTTTATCACAAATCCCAAATTTTAACTTTCAGGATTACATTAAAACATTTGCACTGCAAATCACGCAATCTGAATCTGATGGTGATTGAAAGTCCTTTCTGTAAAGAATTTTGGGTACAATTTTATTTTTCATCTTCAGACAATTATGTCAGTAAACAATTTCTTGACTGAACTAATTTTGAAATAAAAACTGAATGCCAACAAATTGAAAAAAAAATCAAGCAATTTTATTCCATTCACAGGATGCTCAGTTGAATATTCTACAACATAATTCAATTTTCTAAAAATGAAGGTGACATGAGCATTACCTAAAATAACACGATAAGCAATGATGTCAGTCAACTTGAATGCACACACTTTCACTTCAGACTGGAAGTGTTTGCTTTATATTTGCACAAAGTCAGGATTGTTTTACCCATTATTACATAGTAATACTGAGAAAGTGATGATCCCTCACAAATGAACACATCTTGATTAATTATTCAACCTTTTTACGTCACACCTCCCATATAAAACAAACCTATAATACAATTTTCCAACATATTGCAATAAACCTATGTACAATTTATTTACTAAAAATGTACAACAATAAATTACTTGAGTGAAACATCAGCAAATATCTTTATGCTGAAATTATCATATAATTCAAGAAAATAAATAAAAAAACACAATGGATACATTGAAACTGATGTGACTACGATATTTAAAAAAATCAGATCTCCTCCAGCAGTCCTTTTAAATAATAGTAGTTAAAATCCGTGCAATGACAAACATCCCCTAAAGCAGATATTATTATTATTATGACAGATGTATTGAAAATGAGACAATGCTGCAGTGACTTGGGACTAGAATACGCCCATTATATGCCTGATGGTAGGAAATGACAGTGCATGTGTTACCCTAGAGGATCCTATCCTGACCCTGGTAAATTATTCCCCAATAGCGTAAATTAATTCATTTTGACGAAAAACCTTTTTGGTTTTGATTTTTCCCCAGTTCATGACCAGTTTTGTCCTCAATTTTTTTCTTTTAGCTTTACCAAAAATAAAAAGTTTGCAGGAACTCAATCACCATTTTAACCAGCTCATAGCATCTATGAGATGCCCCCTTCATGGGTTATTAACTTTCATTACTTAAGGCTGGGTCCCTTGCTTGTCACAATTAACTTGGGTGGACCCAGCAGTATCAATAACCTTAATTGAGTGAAAAGCCATCTCTGTTATTTCAGGGTAATTTCTTAGTTTTCAATTTTGATTACCGGCCTGTTGCCATTGCTGTTTGTTATCAATCACTTGAATGAAAAGCAAGGGCCATCATGACACCTGAGAATTTTTAAACACACCCATGCTTTGACCCCTTACAGAAAAGGTTCTAAAGTGCAGTGTAGCTTTTTTTACAGTGGCAAAACCATTTTCCTAATGGATCTCAGCAATTTGTAGTTCTACCTAGCACCAAAATACTGCTCAATCACTGAACTAAAAAATTACCGAGAGAGATCACATTGTGAAAGGCAAGTGGAACTATACCAGAAAACAAAACACACGAGTGATAAACATTTGCTACATAAATAGACATACACACCTGCACAATCAGACTATCATCATTAAATCCTGACAAAACATAGAGATTTTCTTCACAGACATTACTGAAAGTACCTGTACAATATCCCTCAGACTTACAGCAGTTATATTACAATGGTTTATGGTCCTCAAGTCGACTAATCCCAAGGTTCCCTTGTCCTCTTATATAAAACTAACCCTCTGAGGATTTTTAAAAAATCAAAATCCAACATTAAATCCTCAATTTTACTAGATAAACATACCTAATATTTTAAAACAGGGTGATAACACCGTTTTAAAATCAATAATGCTGCTATTTCAGCAGCAGCATTGGGATTTTTCTATCCAATGTATTTTGTTTGTTGTAATGGCTTGACATTTCTAAAATGATTCCCTATCACTTCAGACTTATATCATTTGTCTGGCAAATAAACAGCATCATATTCAAGCCATAAGAACCTTTACCTTATTTTCCAGCACAAGACACCTGACACCACTGTACAGATGCAAATTTTTAGTTCATGTTATCACAGTTTTTTTTTAACCTAAACCCACCCTTCACTGAGTAACACAATGTGGTATCTTGCCCTTTGTCCATCACATCCTATCAATTGTTGAATCAATGCCGAGTATCAATGTGGATGATGTTAAAAAGACGCTTAGCGCCAAACTGTGTGAAAGAGTTGCAGGGTCCTGGATATTTTCTTTCGTGTTTTCATTTAATGGACTTTGTCACCTTGTGAAGCCCATGGTGTCAAGTGCACCCCATCGAAAGTTCATATCCACAACTTTGTGTCCCATTATTGAGCTTTAAAATCCCAGGGTTTGTGAAATCCTCCACATCCAATCACCCTTTGACACTAAGGGTACAGTACTGCGAAACGTATGTAGTCAAACAGGCTGATGTCACTAGCTGATGATGAACTAGCACCAGATCAGATCTTTACAACAACAAAGATGACACCATTGAGTCGGATCCTAAAGGTACACATTCAGCATGTGCCCCTCACAACATATATCACGTTTGCTGCATTCCAAGATATGAGCTGGGATTAATGTTCACACTCGTTTCCATATTGGCAATACTTGAGGTAATTATGTTCATGCTGCGATCAAACTCATCTGCAGCTAAAGATGTAGTGTCACTAGCACTTCCTGTTGTTAAACCAGATACATCGCTCGCTGTCCGTCTGGAAAAAAGTACAAGTCCAAATTTAATTTTCAATGAATTATAATAAAAATCATATTATTTTACCAACATTCACATGAATAAACTTTACTATGATAGAAAAAAATCATTAATGCTTAGTAGTCATATAGACATCATGGAAGACATCCCACTTATTTTCATTAATTATTATCACGCTCATGCATGGAATACTGTTCTCATTTGCCCCTTTGTAGCACTGCACAAGCAGCCAAAAAGACAGACCAGGAAACATGTTCAAATTTCACCACCCAGTTCTTTTCATTCCTCCTTTTAAGAATTTCCAATCTTTTTTACACAATTGATTTCAGCATGTGAAGTTATCCATTAAAGGTAACCTTATATTTTTCATTTGTCAATTCCTAAAATGAATGAGGTATCGAATGGTTTTGGGTACCTGTATCTTGATCTTTGACTTCCTCTTCCATTATTTACGATGCCTATACTTTTCAAGAATGACTCAAAAAATTCATAGTCTTTTTCAGGTATAAAATCCCTCATATCTGAAATGGTAAAAAAAAAACATACAAAAAATGATAATTTTACATAATAACTTTACATAATAACTTTAATATTGATTGCTCTCCTAGATGTATAAAGTATTTATCTCATACATCATGGTTCCGAGTCCACCATATAAATGATACATGTTATCCTGTTAATTTATACCACAGATATTTGACAGCTATTTAATAAGTAACAGCTCCAAGAAATAGCGTAATTATGGAAGTAAAGTTTCGGCAAAGAATTACCTGCTAAAAGATATTTTCTCTCCTGTCCATAAAGCTCCAGCACCCTCTGGCAATATTCATTAAAAGGCATATTTTCTTGCCACATTTTACACAAAGAGGCAAACCTTTTTAATTCATCATCAGTTAAAACTCTCTGCATCTGGAACCAAAATAACAAGTATGATATATAATATTTGTTTATTTTCTACCACTCTTTCATATTTCTCTTTTAACTTCATAAATTCTGTAAAAGAGCTAACATTATTCATAAAATCCTGCAGAAGTATTTTTAGGAAAAATTATCTATGGATATTGTGTACCTTTCTTGGATGATCCAACTACACAGCTCATGAATCTATTTACACTGTATATATTAAATATCTTTTCATGTATAAATCTTAACCAGCAAATACCCCTCAAATACTGGTTGATGACAAGCCACTCATAACCACAACTATTTAATGTCCCCAGTAAGGTTAATGGCAAGGATGTGTTCTGGCACACACCGCAAACTTTTTTTAAATGCAATTCTTAACCAGTGACAAATCAGCAAGTCACCTGAAAGTGGGGATTAAGCAAACTCCCAATTTCACCTCAAATGACACCAAAACAAGCATTGCTACCACTTGAAGCAATTTACAAATAGTTGTCAATCTTAAAACATCACTAATTCCCATCTTATCAGTATTCTATCTATATAATCTTGCAAAAGCGATTGGCAATGATCATTTTGTTTTACACATTTTGAGAGAGAAGTGCAATACTCTTACATTGGGTTTACCCTCATTTTGCCACTTCTGATTATCAAACAGAGAAAATTTGCTTTCTTTCATCATGACCAATCTCAACAAGTTATAAATGCATTAATTTTACCTTTCTAATATAATCATGTAACAGATCTGCTGCCGAGGTGCTAAGGTCACTGACGCTCTGCGTAGTGCTTCTTTTCCGCCTGTGAGCTGGTCTGTTTAATGTTGATGTCTGACTATGATCTAGGTGGAGTGCTGACTGAGACAAACTGAAAACAACACAAAACAAAAGTGAAAATATGTCTAATATATTCAACGAATTAAACCAGTGTGAGAAGTGCTCTTCAATTTTGTTCTGCAAGGGGACTAAGTTATTGAAAGCAGAGAGGCAAATTTTGAAACTTTGATTATGTCTTAAAGCAAACACTTTACATTTCAGGGAATATTAAAAAGATCAATTTCAAGAATGGTTCTAAGCCTCCTTACATGAACATGTAATAAGTTAAATTAATAACTTACAATGAAGGATCCTGTAATTTGTCCAGGTTCTTAGGTGTAGATGTGGAATAATCTGAAAAAAATTATCACACAAGTAGTGAGTGATGTATACACCTAAGCATCCTAAAAATGTTTAAAAATTTTCACGTCCTTTAACACATTATTTAAAACTATCGTCTAGAATCCCTGCATGCCAATTATATTATATTATATTATATTATATTATATTATATTATATTATATTATATTATATTATATTATCAACAAAAATATTTCAAATTCCCAAGAAACAATACCATTACAAACATACAATGCTTTTTATAGACTCACCACTGCTTAGGGTAACAGAGGATGTACCAGACACCCCGCGTGCTCCTTCATTGACTTTCCTATCAAAGAACTGCATGGTGGCATCTGTGTACACCAACTGGAAACACTGTCCAACCAGTGAACACAACTCCTCAGAGGCAGACTGCAACAAAAATATGTTTTAAATCTTTATGGCTTATATCAATTTGTCAAAGACAGCTTATAAATTAGTACCATGGCCAACAAGAAAAATTGAACATCATGATTGTTTTAGTTTGCTTAAAAAAAAAAAAAAAAAAAAAACATAATAATAATAATAATAATAATAATAATTATTATTATAATGTTTTTTTTGGTGTGGAGGGGGCAAAATGTCTTAAACCATATTTATACATTTCTTTCAGTTTCATTCATGGATCCCACCCACATTGAACCATAGGTTCTCCCTCATAAATCTATAAAATCTTCGTAACTTAATTCATGATGTAATGTTTCCGTTAACAGTTCCACATCATAAGAGATATTGTTCTGCTGTCATAAGTAATCAACTAATACAGGAAATTAACTAGGGTGGTGCATTACAGGGGCAAAAGACCAGAAAGAATTGAAATTGACATTGGACATTTGCGCATCAATCCCATGATGACATTAGGACTTTAATATGCATTGCAAAGGTGTTCAAGGCATTTAAAAACCACCCGGAATGCTTTTCTAACATACCCTAAACAAAACTTTTCAAAAGCTGAAACAGGAAGAAAATATGGCAAATCAAATAAATAAGTGTGCTTTGTATTCTCTGTTGCAAGTTTCCCCTTTCATGAAATTTCTTCTTCATTCATCTCTTGTAGCTGGATATAACAGGTATGCACCTGCAAAAGTCAATACTGCTATTGCCATTGCCCTAACATTGCCAAAGTTTTTCCCTTGATACACATCCCTAAACTTAAAATGAAATTCCCCATTCAAAGTAAAGCTCTATGTTCCAAATCCAATTTTTTTATTATTCCTGTATGTCTTTTACAAACAGAAAATTTGGGACTATTTCCTATACATCCCCTATTTTTTATTTTATAAAACACAACTCCATCCAGTACCAGGGATTTTCAATTATTGAACATTGACCTTTTGAATGTTTTACCTCTTTAACTCCCCTCCCATATTTATTTTTCTCTGTTTTTCCTTAAAAATAATATTCTGAAAATAAAAAGGGTACAGCATGCTGCAGAGCTTAATTCTCTTTCAAATGCCATCCTCAGTATTTGTCTACAGGATTCAGGTCTTCCATCAAGTGTATTTGCTAGCAGCACCAAAGACCTTTACTTTCCCTTAATGACCTATTGACAAGAACACCCCTCCCTAATGTTGATCTTTGACCCTCAAATCATACTAAAAACAAGTTGACCACATTCCAGCAATGCCCTCATAAATCTCCCTGGTCCAAACAGCAATGCATCTTCACAATACCTATTTATCCAATAATTGTATGCAAAAGGAGGCAACACCCAACAGAAATGTCTGCTTCACTGTCAGCCCACCCATGTATTTAATGCACCAATCCTAGTAAATCCCTATTATATAGGCAGAATGAGGTAGATTTAATCTACAAGAGATAACATTAATAGCAACACTTAGATCACTGAGAACATCATAACTAAAATAGATCTTCTAAATTTTTTTATCAATGGTGATATGGTTTTTGCAGTATTGTCGTGGAGTTCTATAGAATGAATTTTTTTTTTTGCTTCTTCTTTTTCATTCACAGCACCTGAGTATGAATAAGCATGGATGTTCAGTGTGATGGATTTGTCCATTTTACTGGAGAAGAATTGTTATCCAGTTTCTGATTCATTTTTTTCATTCACACCTGAGGATGCATAATCAGAACAACTCCTACTGATAAAATGAAGCTGAATTCCCACCTTGAAATGCACTTCAGATCTGACTGTTGTACTTGCAGGGTCATGGCACATTTTGTGCAGTCATCAAGTTATTTCCGAAATAACCCATTTGTGCAGTCACAAGAACAAGTTTTGAACAATACAGAGAGCAATTTCATCTCTATGCTTGTACCCAACATTTCTGTCAAAACAATTAGATCCGTTTGCTTCGGAGTACTATGCAAACTCTAAGAAGACCATGAAATGTTTTACTCAAATCTTAAGTGTAGAAAGAACTACTGATGCTCATTCATTCACACAAAAAAGATATTTGAAAGTAAGTAATGATTCAAATTTGATAAAAAAAAAAAAGAAATTTTATGATTCAACAGAATCACTACAGCACTGAATGGTTCTTTACAAATTGTATAAATCATCAAGTTACGGAATCTACTGTATATCACGATATGATGATACTTGGTATTTAATATCAGACAGTGTCTAACATTTTACTTACTCTGCTATCACAAAGGAAAACTGCCAACTTGCACATTTCTCGACTCTCTTCAGGATTCCCTAATTGGATGATTAAAATATCCCATTATTGGAAAAAGATCATATCATCAATATACACATTTTTAGTACTCTTCCAAATTTTAATAACAACTTAATAGGAGTTAAAAGTTAATGAACTCTACTTTTAATAATCTACTCTACTTTTAATAATCTCTCTTATGCTCTTATGCAAATATAATTAAAGGCACTTACCAAATTTCAAAATTAAGATAAAAGATGCATCATCTTGTATGTAACAAATTGTAGCTATTTCATGAATGGGTACCCGTAACATCAGCTCCTAAAAATGATGAACAAAGTCTTACAGAAGGATCACAAAACAGCAGTTAGTGCAATAGTTCTTGAATCTGTGCTTGCCATCAGACCAAATGGACCTTCTTACATGTAGATAACCATACCTCTGTAATAATCTCTTAAAAGATATCTCTGAAGAGATTATTACAAAAAAACCAAACTTTTTAGAAAAAAAAAAATGGACTAACTTTGAATGTCAGAATGGATTCATTAACCATTGGTTAGTATGGGAAAATCCTCGTTTACCCCTCGGAGGCTCCCCAGGAAAATATGTTTTTTGGCCAAAATGAACAGTTGTTATCCCTTGAAACACCCACTCCAATTAATAAACTTAAAGTTGCTAGTTTTTCTCCCTTTACTATATCAAAATCTGGCCTGATAACATTTTTGGCATCCTAAGTATAAACACATATTATGGTGGATTTTTAATCATCAAAAATACTACAATTAAATGTTTAATCATTTTAAGAACACATTTAATACATCTATTGGTAAACATGTAAAATATAAATCCTTAAACCTTAGTCAGAAGTATCTTTATCCAACTTAAAGTTGAAAATGACCATCCAAGACCTATTATTTGAAAAAAAAAATAAATAAAAAAAAAACATTGTTATTCTCACTTCGAAGTGTGTAGATTGGAAGAAAAAGGACACTGACATATCTCTCACTAATGTTTGTTTCATAAAACCAAAAACTCCCTCAAATGAGGAACATTTATGACTATTTCATCACATATGGGCCATTATATAGTCAAGATGGCATTATAATGACACGCTTTCTGCTTTGTCTTATCAATACATCTGAGAATATCTCAGTCTCGGACAGTTATTTTGCAAAGCTTTGTATCTGATCTGATTACTGGACATTTATTTCGTCATGAAACAACCCCCTCTAGTCAAGAAATAAAATAGTCTAGGCTCATTATAAAGTTATAAATCTAACAAATAAATCCTGTATGTAAAGCAACAAAGGCAAAAATAACAAAGAAGGCTGCAGTTTTCATTTCTAAAGTAAAATATGCAAATTTTGCATGTTTTCTATACAATGATTTTTTGACAGGTTGATAACCTAATATTCCTTTTGAGTGTTCCATCGCCACTGGCATGGGAGTTAAACATTGACTTTCTATCCTAAAGAACAAGAGGTCATGAATTGGAATAATAAAAGATGCAGGGAGAAAGAGACCTTAACCAACCTCATGAGAGGAGTAAACAACCCATCTAATTGTTCAACAAGACAGCTAAAACTGTACAATGTACAGACAACCCATCTCACTTTAAATATCAAGAAAATTGCTTCCCAGTTATTGCTGTAACAAGTACAACAAATGGGCATAACAAAGACACTCAGGTATTGTCAATATGTACAAACCCTATTGTGTTTCATTTTAGAACTTTATCAACAAGTTAATTGATTATACTGACATCTGTCAAAAAAAGCGGTCACTTTTGACATTTTATGGCAATTTTGAAAGGAAGCTAGCTTTAAAATACTCTTACAAGGAGAACTGACATTTAGCGTATAGAAAAAAAAATACATAAATCCATTTTAATTAACCTACAAGATTTTTTTCCTTCTTTTTTTTTTTTAATCACACTAGACATAAATTGTCCATATCATATAAAGAGGAATAAATCGCATTAAAAGTGTGGGTGTCCTGTGTTGTTCCTACTGTTTTACATTATCTGGAGGGATGGGCAGTAAAACAGCAGCTGAAACATTTCTATTGCTTATCCAATTCAAGCCTGACATTTCTCAAGGGCATGTTTATCAGCATTACCAATTCAAAGAACTGTTGATAAACTTTAAAGTACCAATGCACCAAAATAATTCAAAATTTCTCAAGAAAACAAAATTTCTAACTGAGACCCTGTGGAGAAAAGTAAAGGAGGGGTGTTCTTGGGATTTAGCAAAACAGGAAATACTTCCTGATCATATGCCTTTTAAAAGGAAATTGTAAAGTCTGAATAAAGTGAAACGTGTTTTGAAATTTTAATGTTCGCTGCTAATTTTTTCATCATCAATCTCTATTATACTGTTTGTGCTCACTGGGCTTACTTGTTCATTTGCTGAAGACAGTTAACTTAACAACAAGACATACAGTTTATAAAGACCTATGATTGAATTTCAATAGAAAGTAGAGGTAAAGACAGACTTACTTCATTTCCATCTCTCCTTGAGATTTTGATATTGTTAACGCTTAAGCTAAAGATGGCATCTTGTTCGTAAGTTGTGTGCCAAGGGATTGTACCATCCTTCTGAAAATATATCAACTAATTTAGAAAACAATTTCTTTGAAACTTAAGTTTTTTTTATCTTATAAACATCCGTAATTAACACAGTTCCTCTCCATTCTGCATTCTTACATTACAAATAAGAATACTGCATGCTTATCAATCCCTAAGTTGCCAACTAAAAGATAAATATGTCAGTGTTCATTATTCACAAAGAACGGGAGCTCCCAGTTGTACATGTACTACGATAGTGAAATATTTATAATCACGAGCTTCTGTCTGATGGAGACTAATTAGGGTTAACATTTACTCCACCCCAAATGTCAAAGCCATTATTTTTCTGCACATGCAACTGAAGCATATGAATAAATGACAAGAAGAAACTGCAATGTAGACAGACTAACGTTTTTTTTCATTATAAGATGATGAGCAGCGTATCAAATTCTATTCATAGCATCTTTCACTATTTAAAAGTTATTCTTTCCGCATTTTTTTATAATGATTGTACTCTTGGCTTCATGCATTGAGATTTAAAAACACTATGTGCATTACACACAGAGAAATTTTCATATCATACTTGAGAGTGATTGTATTTATAATTATTTACATGTATAAATATTAAAGTTACCTTTCCCCTATCTATCACTCTGAGGATATCTGTGCGGCTCGTAGAATCAAGATGTACTGGAACATTGGGTATAATACCAGCAAACTGCAATGAGAATTTGAAAAAAAAAATTATTCTGTTGTCACAGGAAATAGTTAAAGTTCTCATAAGAATCAATGGCAAATGGTTGGGACAATCTTGTTGAAAAGTATCAACGAATGACACATTTATACATGTAACAAGAAGAAAGCTTACAAAGGTGAAAACTTTCAAAAACATATTTTTCACCTGTCATCAAAGTCAATTTTAGACTACAGCTTGCATTCAATTTTAAATAAATTATGTTTCAATCTGATTTATATGCATCCATGAAACTAAGGAAGGTGGCTTCTGCACTTATATGTCATTCACTGTCTTTGCCCAGTGATGAGGTACATGTAAGTGCAAAACATGCACACATCTTTTTCACCTGGTGCTGATATTTTAAATGTTGTAAGTACATTTTGTCTATTCAATTCAGTCACATACAGCTAATCACATAACAAAAATAAGTAAAATAAAATCAACAAATTAATCCCCTGAAATAAAAAAAAGTGCTTAAAATTTCTAGTGAAATATGTTGAGCAAAGAAGCGTATGCTGGAGCAGCAAGTATGGGAGGGACCTGTTTTGACTTCAGAGGTAATAGTTTTGAGATACACTTTTTTTCAGAATTGCATTTTACACCCATACTACCTAGAAGCAGCAGTTTCTCTCCAAGCAGCTGCTGGTTTGTGTGCGTCACAGCTACAGCTACAAATTATACATGATGATAGGTTGAAGAAACCACCCTTCCCGTTTTAATAATATGCACTAAGATAGACAAAAAGATACTATACACACCATCAGCAGCGCCATTTATACTCTTGCCTTAGATATACAATGAATGTTTGATATATCTTTTTTTATAAACAAACAACAAAAAATTCTTTTACATCTATGTTGAGATACAGGTGAACTATAGAAAGATAAACAGTAATGCAGAAGGAAAGTGACAAGTCTACAGTACACACTGGCATTAGTTAAAATCTGCAGAGAAAATTAGTCACCAAATCCAATTCATAAGGTGGACCTGGGAGGGAGGGGATGAAAGGAGGGGGGGGGGGGGAGATGAGTGTAGCCCATAGTCCTGTTGAGTTTCTCAGTCACTACCTGGACATTATAACTTATAGCCTTGTTTACGGTGTCCACCTGGCCATTCATGGCTGCACAGTCAATGGGATTGAATATGTATTTTAAATCAGTAGTCCAGAGGTCTTGTGGTGATGCTCCACCCTAATGTTTTCAATGCCCCAGCTAGCTGCGCTGCCACTCTCCAGTTTTCCATAGTTGAAGCTGGTACAAGACTTATTTAGTGCTTCTAGCACCTGTGGCCTTCTGACCTCCAAAAACAAACCAACTCCCAAAATTCCTGAATCTGCAGAGTGAACAAAGTATTCAAGTTATTTTTGCTCTCCTTTTTGGCCCAAAACAAAAGATTCTGTCCATGTGAACCAATGGCATTAATATTTGCTCCTCAAAATAAAATAAAAAAACCTGTCTGTCTCTGTTGAGTCTGCAGCTTTCAGCTTCTCAGCAGACATTGTTTCAGGAGAGTTATCCAAGTAATTTCACTTATCAGCAAAATATTGCCTTTTAGGAGTAAGATTGCAGTTACATTTTCCAGGACAAAAAAGTATGTAAGACTGTTTCCACCCAGAGATCACAGATTTAAATTGGGAACAGTTATCTCTCTAGTTAAGAGGGTATCACAATGCTCACCACTCTGTATCAATTTACAAACCAACTCAAAAAGTCTCTGAAGATTGTGACAATTTAAGTACTAGAATTTTATCCTAAGTAGTAAGAAAATGTTTTGCAAAAATCAAATCCCGCTGCATGTGTCAATAGCTGGGTTTCTGAATACACCAGTTAGATACTGTCCATTATCAAACAATTGTGACTTTCTTCCAAATTTCCTACAGGTCCTGTCCGATGACTTGGGTCTCCTTTTTCCTCAACAATTATAAAAGGCAACAAATATTTTTCACTTAGAAAACAAATCTTAAAAGTACTCCCTGTGGCTGTGTCAGAGTGCTGCAGTTTCCCTTTCCCTGTGTGTCCACACAGTGCTGCTATGTTTACAAGCATTGGGTGGAGCTCGTATATTAAACCATATAGATGTGATAAGGTTACAAGTGCATCGTGCTTGCACAACAGCTCATTCACTAAGCTCTTCGACTAACCTACCGTCCCATTAATGCAAATTTGTCATTTAACTTTGATAAATTGAACTCACTTAAAGAGATATTAAACATGCAAACAACACTATCCAATGGTATTGAGATGTGACACTACACAAACCAAATCAAAATAATCTTTTTTTTTTCAATTTCCTCTTACAAAAGATAACACCACTTTTATCAAACAGAGGATTATACCACCACATCTAGGGACTTTAAGTATAATTGAATTTAGTTCCAACTTGGGCCCAATCAAAATAGCCACACAAATTATACATGCATTTTCAATGCCTAATTCTGATTGTTTACACTATCATAAACACAGAAAGGTAAACAATAAGAATTAACATTTTTTATTGTCTTAAACGGGAAGGGGGAAAAAGGGACTAAGTGTGCATGATCTAGAAGTGACTGCATAACATTCAATGGATAGCAAAATGGAGAAAAAATGCCACACAGATAAAATGACGCACCAGACATAATTGCATTTGAAACAAAATACACCAACATCAAGGCAGCAAGGTTGTCAAATGTACACACAAAACACAGGAAAGAATGATGCACAAAACAGGTTATTTTGGCCATTTAGATGCATTTTTATTGTCATTATAGCAGCAGTGCCCAAAAAAGGTTTTCTTCAATTTTGATGCATTGGTACGTAATGCATAACAGCATTACATGATTACCACCAATTTTTTCTTATATAATAGAGGTATCATGGATATTCAGAAAATGTGATTAGAAAATCCACTGCAAAAGCTTTGTATGAATGCAGAATAATTAAAAAAATAAACAGCTTATTTTTTGGAAAAAAATGGTCTGAGCAAGCTGATTTTCAAACTTTACGGTAAAGTCTTGAAAATTTCGTCGCTTAAAAATTAATTAATATTTTTAATTGTGTAAATCCGACTAATTTTTCAAAATTACCTCTCCCCGACTCCTGGGTATGACGAAATTTTCAAAAATCCGGCCTTTGGGCTTTTATCCTTAGCGACTGTTATCTTTGACCTTCCTATATGGTGGGATATTTATTACTACTTCGTAAGTCATTTTCTGGTGGTAAATAATAATCTATTTATTAGTGCATCTCGATTAAGTTATATTTAACTTATTTTCTCGGTAAGAAACATACCTCCTGATAGAGGAAAAGGATCAAGATAAGCCTAATTGCAACCTTGCATCATAACCTGGACGCGACATGTTTAAAA